GAACGCACGTAATATTACATGCTTCGGTGTTACATATAGGTTGCTTGCGTTGTTTATATAACATAGTTATGTGCTTAATTGTTAGTTTATTGTTGATTTCATTTGTATCAGGAAGCAGGTATGACAAGCTGTTGAATTGCAGTTTGGGAATTAAGTCTTTAGGTTACTAGTGTTAGGTTGTTTTGATTATAATTTTGAAATAAATGATTTTGCCACGTAATGTCAAAGGGGGGAATTTGTTAGACCCAAATTATAATTGGCTAGCTTCGTATCCAAAATTGTCGTTTATTGAGTTATAATTATAGCTAAAGATTTGAGGATTGATAGTATAGATCTTGAAAGAGTCAAAGAAGTTTGAGGTGGACCAATGAGAAAAAAATAGCCAGAAAAATGCTCGATGACTGTGTAGAAGGCGCTCGAGCAAAAAAAGCAAGAGCTACGCTATTCGCCAACCGTATTCTCGGCGCTTGAGCGACAGTTCATGTGACCACTTGCTACCCGCAAGGTCACCGAGTAGAGTCCTGTTCGTGATTTTGACAATTTTTACAATCTCATTCAACCTCAAACACTTGATATTAAAAATACCCAAGTATAGTCTGTCTCAAAGGTGTGTCGAATCCATTTTTATTCAAGAAAACATATTAGTGAAGATCAATAACCCATTCTGTAAATCTTTTGATTCAACCACAAGATCAAAATACAAAATATCAAAGATCAAACACCAAAAACTATTACTTGCACCAATAAGCTTTCAGAATTTTGAAATTGGAAAGAGATACCAGAACGAGTTTGTTCTTGGTATCCACGTGGAGGGAAAAAGAAGTCTAGAGTTGTTGGAAAGTGTAGGTTGCACAATCGAAGAGGTCTCTTCAGTAATTTACAGATTGGATCGTGGGTGGACACAAGGGGGTCTTGGAGGGTCACGTGACCCTCCAATTTTTTATTTTTGTCTTTCCCTTTTTATCTTTTTTCTTTTTTTTGGATAACTCCTATTCGGTATTGATTGAAATCTAAATCAAAGTTAACAATTAATTTTAATAACATATTTTATGAAATCCTTAACTTTTTAACTTTTATCAAAATATTCTAAAAAACTGATTTTAACTTCCACCAAATGGGGTAAAATCACAATAAATTTGAATTTTTTTTTCTCTTTTCTCTTACTCTATTTTACACTCTCCCTCATACCTTTTATCAAAACTTTAACCCTTCTAATTTTTTTAAATTTTGTCTATAATTTTTCTACAAATTAACATATCTATTACAAATTTTCACTTTCCAATCAATTTTTCAATTAATTAGAATCTAAATTTAAATTTTCTCATATCATATTTGTGTACATAGAATGTGTCTGACCTGATTATATCTAATTTAATGAATTGTATTTATTTGATTGAATATTGGTTATATGTTTTCCTTTTGATCACTTGAGTTGATTGTTTTTATTAGATAGACTATAAATTTTTTAAATATAAATATACATTTTCTTGTGATGAGCAAAATATTACTAAAATGACTGTTCGAAACAAATGAATGAAAATGATAAGCAAAATATTAATGTAGAAATGTTTTTCAAATGTAAATCTATATTTTCTTGGGTCGAGTATAAATCATTTAAAAATCAAGAACAAAGTATTCGATTTATACAGAATTTGATTATGCCCCTCTAACTAAAAATTTATGCGTCTGCCCCTGAGTTGGATGGTCAGAGTTTCCCAAGTTTTAGCTGTGTTTGGACCAACTATAAGTTATCTTTTTTAGTAGATCTTTTTGACAAGGTTTGTCGGAAGGTTTTTTATCCATGTAAAGAGTTTTCAAGAACTTTTCCTTCATTACCAAATTTTCTGTTTTTTTAAATTTGTGCTTTTAATCCATATTGTATGATTGACACTTAGGGGGTTTAATTTGACATTGTACTTAATCATCTAGAAATAATAAATAAGTAACTTGTTGCTTTAATTGGTTGATTATTTTAATTTTCCATTATATGCCTAAGGTATAATGTATGATTGACACTTAGGGTTTATCTTTATCGATATTGCATAATTGATACTTAGGGGGTTTAATTTGACATTGTACTTAATCATCCAGAAATAATAAATAAGTAACTTGTTGCTTTAATTGGTTGATTATTTTAATTTTCCATTATATGCCTAAGGTATAATGTATGATTGACACTTAGGGTTTATCTTTATCGATATTGCATAATTGATACTTAGGGTTTAATTTAATATTAAATTTAATCATCTAGAAACAATAAATAAGTGTTTTGTTGCTTTTTATTGGTTGATTGTTTTAGTTTCTCATTATACACCTCTAGGTTTGGATTTAAACGTCATCCGATTATTTCACAGACAAATAATGTAAAATTCAAAACTTACAAGGGATACTCAGTACACTTATTAATGATGATCAAGATCCAGAAGATGGTTATGTTTTACCTATTGTTTCTTCAAAAGAGGCATTTTAAGCAGTCGTAATCTTAAATAATTATTTTGTACAAAATAAAAAAATGTCAAAAGCAAAGTCGAGTTTCGTTTGGGTGGAAAGAAAAAGCAAAACACTTTAAATGCATATTTTGAAAAAGAAGGGAATCGGGAAAAAAAAATTGTTGTTGAATTAAAAAATGCATATACATAATTCCAAAATAAAAATGGAAAATTATCCCCTTACCCAATTTTTTACGACAAAGTTAAAATATACCCTACTTTTAATGTTTATAATGTTTAACATACATTTTTTATTGGTCTATAATAAAATTATAAAAATGTAGCCTTCCATTTGTATTGCTGGTCAATATACTCCAAATTAAAAGTAGAAAATTATCCCCATTAACCCAATTTTTTTATGAGAAAAAAAAGTTTAAATATACCCTACTTAATCTTTATAATATTTAACCTACTTAATTAAATACATAATAATACAAATGGAAGGCTATATTTTTATTATGGACCAATAAAATAAATATATGTACCTGGTCAATATATTCCAAAATAGAAGTAGAAAATTATTCCCATTACGGCATTACCCAATTTTTTATGAAACAAAGTTAAAATATACCTTACATTTAATCTTTATAATATTTAACCTACTTAATTAAATTCTTTAATTTAATTGAGAGTCACTATTTATATTTCAATTAACTCTTATCCCTGCTTTTATTACCACCTTTCTCACCTCCCTCTTTCAAAGACCTAACACCACCACCACAAATTCAATCTCTCAATTACCACCAACCAACACCATAAATAAGGGATGATAAATGTGCCCATTATTTAACCTACTTAATTAAGTACCTTTAATAATAATTGTCTTTTTTAATTTAATTGAGAGTCACTATTTATATCCCAATTCACTCCTATCCCTGCTACTAGTACCACCTTTCTCACCTCCCTCTTTCGAAGACCTAACACCACCACGACAAATTTAATCTCTCGATTACCACCAACTAACAACATAAATAAGGGATGATAAATGCCCCCTGGGGTACAGTTTAACTGGTGGATCAATCAACATTGTCTTACTTCCAGCGGCAGGGTGGAGGTTCGAATCCTGATGGGAACCTACGGCCAGATTTATTTGGTATGGAGCAATCACTTTGGAGGAGGATCTCTTGTGCGCAGAAGTGTACAGGCAGTGGGGAGAACTTGTGATTCAGTTGAGGCATAACCCGCGATTTACCCCCTCCAAGGTTTTAGGGGCAAGGGTCTTGGGGGTCCAAGATTTAGTTTAGTGTAAGATGGGATACCTAGATATCAAAAAAATAATAATAATAAGGGATGATAAATGTGCTCATTATTTAACCTACTTAATTAAATACCTTTAATAATAATTGTCTTTTTTAATTTAATTGAGAGTCACTATTTATATCCCTATTCATTCTTATTCGTGCTACTAGTACCAACTCTCTCTTTCAAAGACCTAACACAACCACCACAAATTTAATCTCGCGATTACCACCTATCAAAACTGTTATATTTGACAAATAATTTAAACTCTTGTTTGACAACTATTAAAATAAGTTTTTTTATTATTTTTTTTAAGCGAAAATGCATTTTGAAATTATGATTTTTTTTTTTTTTAAAGAATGTATAGTTAAATGAAGGAAAAACTTGTGAGTTTACATGCGTAACATTTTATTGTGAAAATGTATGATTAAAAATTAATTTAAGGAAAAGAAAAGGAAATAGAAGAATTCTATCTTATTGATTGTCAAAGAAGAGCTAAATTATAGTCATTGACATAAATAGATTTGTATTTGACATGCGTGGATTGCTTGTTTATCTCAATTTATTACAGTTGGGCAAACGGTACAATTATTAGGTACAAGAATTCAATCAATACGAAGATTTCCCAAAAATTTGATTAGCTAAGCCCTTGGGTGATTCAAATTATTATTATTATTATTATTATTATTAAAAAAAAAGTTCAACTTCAACCTTGAGCCCCCCACGACCCCACTCCTAGATCATCGTGATGGAGGTAAATCGCGAAATGTACCCCAATAGATCAGAGAATAAGAGTTTGTATGTACACTGCTATCCACAAAGAGCCCAATTTCATATCTCAAGAATCGAAGCAAGGTTGAGACTACCCCACTCCTATCCTAAACACCACTTAGTTGTGTGTCGAAGGGCTTATTATTATTATTATTATTATTATTATTATTATGATGTGGTGTCTCTTTAGTACACGTATTTTGGCTATAAAGAGATTTTTTACTTTTTAAACAAGTTAAATTTACTTATTTTCCAATTTTAACAGACAAATACGGGTAGTTTAAGAAACATGCTATGCATCTCACGCTTAAAATGTTTACATTTTTTTTTGGGTTGTTTAAATGAAGTAAGGTTATTTATAAGTAAAAATAATAATTTCAATATAAAAATGAGTTAGTTACTCATTTTAAGGTTAAGTTAAAAACTAAATTCTGGAAGGCAGACGCGTGTCTGATCATGCATATAACAATATAGTACACACCTACTATTAGCTGGTGTTGCCGTATTGGTAACGAACTGTCCGCACAATTCTATCTCTTTCTATGTATACAGTATACAGACACAACAATTTTTATTTCTCACGTAATAAGAAATATTCAGAGGCTGCTGCCAACGTGGAAACTAGTGATTCATCGATGGACGGCGGTGTAGAACCACTTCTTGCTAGCCACCAGAGTGAAGAGGAAAAGGGTATTTTGGACGGAGAAGAGAAACGCGGGACGACGCGATACGAGAAGCAAAGCAATTTTGTTAAGGATTTTGGTGGGGAATCGAAGAAACTATGGAAAATAGCTGGGCCTGCAATTTTCACGTCTATATGTCAGTATTCATTGGGTGCATTAACTCAAACTTTTACCGGGTTCGTTGGGGAATTGGAACTTGCTGCTGTCTCTGTTGAGAATTCTGTAGTTGCTGGCCTTGCATTCGGAGTCATGGTATGTTTTTTATCTCTTTTTAATTCCTTTGGATTTTATTTGGGAATTTGGATAATTTTGAAATTAAATGGTAATTTATTGTCTTAAGTTTTTGAAATGAAAGAATTGAATAGTGCATACTATGTTTTTCTAAGCTTAAGGAGTTTTACAATTATTTTTTAATTGCTGAAAGTCGAAAAGTTTCTTATTTTGATGTGAAAAGTAACCTTTTCCAGCTAAACTTACAGTTATCTAAGTTTTTGAGGTTGAAGAATTGCTTTTAAGGTAATCTCACATTTTTAGGATTAGCTCAGTCCATTAATTTTACTTTTGAATTCAATAAAGTCATCATTTCCCTTTCTCTATTGATAAAATATTGGTTCAATACAAATGGTCAATTGACAAATTATTTGGTGATGATGTTTGTCACGTTTGTCTAAGATTAAAAATTTACTTGTAAGTGTAAAAGCGTGTTTGTCTTAGCATAAAATCCATTTTTTTACTATGTTAAAAAATAATAATAAAAAATAAAAAATCATGCAGCTTGGAATGGGGAGTGCACTGGAGACTTTGTGTGGGCAAGCATATGGTGCGGGGCAGATAAGGATGTTGGGAATATACATGCAAAGATCATGGGTCATTCTGCTGACTACTGCCTGTATACTGCTTCCTATTTTCATCTTCTCTCCTTCAATTCTCGAGTTCTTTGGAGAAACTACTGAAATTTCCCAAGCAGCGGGTTAGAATTTATCTCTTTGTCTTTTGCGAAGCTTGGTTTACTCCATTGTGAATTATGTGTCGTTGTGTATCTATTTGTGTTCGTTGGATTACATATTGGTGTATGATAAAATATATACAATCATAGAAATATCAAGAGTTTAAGGAGATGGTAGAAAGTTTGCCAAGATTCGAAGACTAAGGAGTGTCCTGTAAAGTTGGATAAAAAGATATTTCAACTTTTCTTTGAAGGATGAGACCTTGTTTAGATTGGCATAATATTTGTTTGGATTGGGTAACAGTAAGGGACTGAACATTTTCTGGGGCCCCTAAACTTATGGCCCCTTTAGCAAGTTGGTCTCTAATCTTTAAAACAGAGCATTTTGGTTCCCTACTTTTTAATGTTGCAGAAGTGGTCCCTACTCCCTTAAAAGAAATAACATTTTTCTCATACAAGCCACTTCAACAACTGCACTATTTCTCCCTAGGCAAACCAAGCTATCATTACCTCAACAAATCCCATTTTTATAAACAATTGACTCTTTTATAGAAAGAGCCCTTCGTGTGTTTCAACCAACTTGTAAACTCATTTATCCCCTTTAGCTTAAAAATTTCTACATTTGATTTTGTGTCAAGAATCTAAATTTCAAGTTGACACTTCTGTGTAAGCTCATTTATACCCTTTAGCTTTAAAACTTCTCCGTTTTAGATTTCGTGTCAAGAATGTAAATATCAAGTTAATTGTCATGCACCCAAGGATTGTCCTTGAAAAAGTCTAATTTATAAAATTGAGCATAAAAAATAAGCAACTCTATGTGAACTGTGAATCAAGTTAATTGTCAAGCTTGCTGGTATCATTTTCTTTCTAAAATTGGAAAATGAATGAGTAGGATTTAAGCATTAACAAATAAGCAACTACATGTTTACTTCATTAAAACTTGTGCATCCATCAGGGTAAAAATAATTCAACCTAGTAAATTTGTATGTTGTATTAGTTATGAACACATTGAAAAAGGATCAAATTTGAGTGGACTGTGAGATCGTCCAAAGAAAAGTTAACTATTTCACTTTGAAAGTTAAATCCAAAGCATGTTACTCAACTCATCCTTCAAGAGAAATTTTCAACGTGACATTGTTGTCTAAGAACCACTAAACCAGTACCTCGCAAAGATACTATTTCCTCAAGACTAACACTTTGTAATGAGCAGGGTTTCCATAGCTTTCCTCCCTAGGAAATTAAAACTGAATAAAACATGATAGATGTGTGTGAACTCTAGCAGCTCACCAATGAATAGCTGTGAAAGACCCTAGTCACTGTGGATCTGACAAACGAACCCAAACAACTGAACAAACTCTGATGATTCCCGTTCCAGCCAACAAGAACTAAAAGTCTGACCAGGAGCACACAGTTCTAAAAGAAAATAGGGATTTTCAATACTTAAACATCATTTATTCAGGAAAATATCATTTGCTGTCATCAAACTCCCCCTGTTCAGGCATAAACCATCTTAAACTTGTGTAATTTATGTATTCCATTTTCTGTTACCGTAAGAAAACTGACTTTGGTTTACATTGCAGGTGGATGACTGTCTTTTTCTAGATTTGGCTTGTGGTAATGTGGTGCTGGGACACGTTTGTTTTGGGGTTTGAGGGGGAGGGGATATTAGGTCTGATTTCGTGTATAGAAGAGTAATAAAGACAAATAGAAAGAGTCCAAAGATAGTTGTAATTAGAAGAAGAGCGTAGAAAAATGTGCAGGATGAAACTAATATCATATTCTGCAGGGCATTTTATCAGCATACTCATATTTCACACTTAACAGTTAATTTTGCTTCTACATAAGCTAACTTAGAAGTCTCTGCAGGAAAATTTGCTTTATGGATGATTCCTCAATTGTTTGCATACGCATTAAATTTTCCAATTCAAAAATTCTTGCAAGCACAGAGGAAGCTCCTAGTAATGGCTGTGGTATCAGCAGTAGTACTTGTGCTACATGCAATTTTTAGCTGGTTGGTAATATTGAAACTCAAATGGGGCTTGGTTGGAGCAGCAGTCACTCTTAATACCTCATGGTGGCTAATTGTCATTTTACAACTAATCTATATTTTTATCACCAAGTCGGATGGAGCTTGGAGCGGATTCTCGATGCTCGCATTTCAAGACTTGTTTGGCTTTGTCAAGCTCTCTATAGCCTCTGCCATAATGTTATGGTATCTCTTGTTTTTTCTGCCTTGCTTCCGTATGTTTTCATTGCTTAATTAATTTTTGTGATGCTCGTAAATCTAATGCAATTACGATGATCCTATTGCAGCTTGGAATTCTGGTACCTTATGGTATTAGTGGTGATAGCAGGTCGTTTGGACAACCCTTTGATACCAGTTGATGCTATTTCTATCTGGTATACTTTGCAATTCCATCAATTCTATTGTTTTTTGTCGTCATGCATATATAAAAACTACTTTATTTATTTATTAACTTTTTTTAGCTAATCTTAAACCCAATATATAAAGGAAGGTTGAGTAGATAACCACATAAAACTATTGTCAAATCTTACCGCATGAATCCCTGTGCACGTTCTGTTGGGGGCATCCCCTGTTATGGTCGTGCTGCAATTTACAAGGGACATGGCTTTGTTTGTTTTTGTTATTTTGTTTATTGTTGTTGTAGGGTGCACAAGTAAAGAAAGCGCAGAGTCTTCATATCCCTGAAAAGAAGACGTAGAAGAAAAGAAAGATACCTTGTATTAAAAAATTGAAAATTATATGCGCAGCTTTCTAGGTTCATGCTTTAAAATTGATCTAGTGGTATCCTAAGCAGCTTAGTTGAAAAAAAAAAATGGAAAGAGCATTTATAATGGTTGAAGGAAAGAAAAAGCTTGCTGAATTCAGTAATTTCGAAATCTGGCTAACAGCTGATTGATTTAATTCACTCATGTTGCTGTTGGTGAACCTTGATGTGAAATACACAGTCTGTCTTGTTCTCAGTTGATTTGGAGTCTTCTATAGAAATTCTTTTTCGCCACCCCCATCGATCTCCTCTTTTTTACCCGAGCTTGGAAGCCATCTGAGTTATTTCATCTGGTATTGAGTGTCTCTGCATCCAGTATTCATTTTTTCTTATTCATCCAGTTTGGAACATCATCTCATTCTCGAATTATCTGTCTTTGTGTGAAGATCCACTTATTGCAATATGTAATAAGTGCTTGACATAGCTTTTGTCACAATACTTCGCAGCATGAACATACAAGGATGGGAGGCGATGATTCCTCTGGGATTCAATGCTGCCATAAGGTGATATAGTTATTACCATTTACCTTTCAAATATTTGTTGTTTCATTACCAGTTGAGCTCATGCTGATGATCTATCAATACTTGAAATGAGTGTCAATGTGCTTTCGACTATGTCTACATGCTTTCGGTTATCAAGTTAGCAGTTGTGAGAAAGGAATATGATCTAATACATGAATAATTATATAGTTATCCTATTCCATCTCTCTTTAATATCATTTTTCTGGACTATGCGAAACATAATCATACTATGAGCTTGTTTGGGCCCCATTTTTATTGAAAAATAAATCTTGAAATAGTAGATTGATGGAGAATATGTGGTTAAAAAATAAAGAAAAGTTTTCGATTTGCTTGTAACATTATTTTATTGAAAAATGAGTGATTGAAAAGAAGAGAGAAAATTATTTTTAAAATGATGGGAATTAAACAAGGGCTATATTTAGGTTTAGGGTATATATGGATTCTGTAAATTTATTCGGTCCCCTTAATATTTTTAAATATATATTAGGATTTTATAGAGAACGTCTTTATGAGAGTGGTGTGGGAATGTGTGTGCATTTCTGATTTTGATTGCTCCTGAAAGAAGGATTAGTGTTTCATCCAAAGCATCTTACCTTATCCTAGAAAAGATCAATGTAGAAGTGTTATAAACAATGCTTGTTTATGTCTTCAGTGTGAGAGTATCGAATGAACTTGGAGCCGGCAATGCACGAGCAGCTAAATTTTCAGTCATCGTGGTTTCCATCACATCTGTGTTGATTGGAGTAGTTTGCATGGCAGTGGTTTTTTCAACAAGAGATTATTTTCCGCATCTCTTTACCAACAGTGACGCAGTTGCTAAGGAGGCGACTAGACTTGGAATTCTGCTTGGACTTACATTTTTATTAAACAGCCTTCAACCAGTTTTATCAGGTAATTATTAAGGACCTAGCAGCACACATTCTACCTCAATTTGTTATTGATTATCAATTCCGAGTTTAAAATATAAATTTTATCACAAGTCCTTTACTGACTACATATGCACAAACAGACATAATTATCGAGTAAAAATGTAAGTTTCCTGTTTTATATAATTCTGTAAGGTCATAACCAGTATGCTGGTGACATCAATAACGAAAGTCCACGAATTTAACTGATAATACATTACATAACTAACCAGCAACCGAATGTGTATTCTTGCATAAGAGGTCATTGAACTAATTCTATGATGTGAATGCGTGATATATATTGTATGTTTGATATGGTGGACGCGATTAAGCCCCCCCCCCCCCCCCCCCCCAAAAAAAAAAAAAGGGTTTAAATTTTT